AGTGTGCAAATAACGTCTCCATATTCCCTTTTTTTCTTATTATTTTCCCCCCTCATTCCCAACCTAACAAACTGTTTTTTAATCTGTAAACCAAGCCTAAAGTATCTTACTTTCTTAAGTGTCACCAGGTTGCGAGGAATCTCTTTGACTTTGGTTGATTGAGAAGTGTTGGCCAGAGGGTGACAAAGAGGCTTGTCCCCCAGCAGAGAGAGAGAAAATCTCAAAACCTGACCTGTGTTGGCCATGCTGGTGACATGGCGTCCAATGCTGTGATGTGCTACTGTTAATCAATACACAGTACACACATAAAAGTGGCATTTAGAAGTTGGTGTGATGGACAAGGGAGTTAGTTCTATGTATGTACAACTTCTTTATTACAACATACGTAACATCACATATATTGTTACAAATAGGTTGCATATCCATCATAATTGTTACATTGTACAGATTCTTGAAGGGATTGGAAAAGTTGCACTGTGATTTAGGATTTGTTCCCAAGACATTTGAGCCATCTGTGCCACCGTGATAAAAAACAAAATGTTTTTATAAATATCATCAAGCTTGACTGGGCTCCTGTGTACATGAACAAGCTCTAAAATTGTTCAGAACTTGTGTTGCGTAGCAACAGTGGAACGAGTTTTATGAGCAACCTTTTATCAGACTTTCAGATTGTGTCAGTTAGTTTACTATGACCATACATACATTTTCATCTGTTATATTTACACAAAAAACACATGCAAAACATCAGAAATGTTAATGTCTTTAATACATTATCAAATGTAAGTTAATAATTTTTGAAGCCAACATCAAGGAGTTGAATGCCAGGAAGATCAGCCGAAATGGGTCCCACACTGACATAATGTTGCAGACTGGCACAGTAGTTTACAGTGCCCAAACATTTTTCAATACCAGACATCCATATTAATGTCATCGTAGGATGATGCATGGATGGATGTGGAATATTTATCAAGCTGCAATAAATATTTAGTAAACAGAATCCGCAGAATATTGCTGAGTGTGGCATATAACTAAACTCACTCACTCACTATTATTGTTTTTAAGAAGTTAAAAATATCTTCTTAAATATTAAAAAGCTCAGTGTCCCTATCAAAAGGTGGGTCTTCTGCAGAACCTACCTTCTTTGACAATGTTTGGAAATAGCATACAGGGAAAAACTTGACAACACTGTACAGCCACAAACGACTCTTGCTTTGTCTACATATCCTGCATGTTACCAGCCTGCCAGCCAGGCAAAGACAGAATATTAAGTATCTGTAAATGATGAAATGTTTAATTATGGAAGCTGTAGGTTCAAGGTGTTGAAAGTTGAGGTGTCGATTATGTAGTGTTCATGAACACAGGGTTCTTGATGTAGAAACCTACATTAGATCATCACAGAAATAGCACCTCTTAACTCAGCGTCTAAGAGAACTCGGATCCAATGTAAGAAACTAAAATGTCCCTTGGACCTATTACGTGGGGGATCTGCTTACACCATTATGCCATTTGATATTCAGTGTAAGTGTAGCCTGTTCAGTTATATATGTTACCAATATAGTATTTCAATCGTTTTTTTACCAAGATATGACATTCTGCCTTACAGTGATATCACTTTTAGACATCACATACGTAACTGATGGGTTAGGGTTTTATGAGACTGAAATATTTTTGCAATAAACTGCTCACAAATTCCAATTTCAACAGGCCTGAACTTCCAGATCATTGATGTTGTGAAATTTCAAATAGGCAATCATACTGACTTAATTATATGAATATTTGTGTGTATTCCATGAATGTTTATAAAAATAACAAGACATTGTTGTGTTGAATCCGGTTTGATTTGTTCCGCTTCATATGATATAATATCCAACTTTCACTTTCATCAAATTCGTCATCTATTAAGTTCTATAAAATTTGAAACTGTTGATGCATATTTTATACCTGTATATTAAGATGTCTTCTGTTGTACCTCTAATGTCACTGACAACAGCCTTCTAATAAACATGCAACATGTTTATACAGTATTTTTCTACTTTTCATCTCCCTACAACCCTTTCCTAGCTTTGAGTATTCCAACTTTTGTACAGACAGGCTACTGTGGCATTGGGGGTTTCAAAACTAGCAATAGCTGTTATAGTAAGTTACGTGAGGAAAATTATACATTAACAAAATGTTGTTCTGCAAAAACTACTGTTCTGTAGTTGTGAAATTGTTTTGGACTGAAATCTACATATCATCATCATGAAAATAGGGCTGAAAGTAATAGTCTATAGATCATATGACTTTGTGTTTAGTTAGTGCAATATAAAACATTTCTAATCCTAGAAAAGTGATATTTATGTTTTTTTGTCATTAGGACTCAGTGGAGAGGAAAGATTCCATTTGCATATAAACGGCATCCCTGATGGAATATATTACAGCAAAGTTAATTACCATCACCGGAAAACCTGACACAGAAACTCCAATCTATTACAGCCTATTTTTAACTGAAAAGGAGTTTCTATATATTACCTCCTGCTGTTCAGTAATCTGATTATAGTGATCTGCTTATTATCATTTCAGGTAGTACAATATTTTTAACCTTGACCTGGGCACCTTGAATTTTAAGAGAAAGTGAGTGAGTGAGTGAGTGGCAAAAATCCAACAAGAGCCTATACCTATCTCTAATGTCTGATATTTAAAAAAATATTATGTCCACTGCCCCTCCGTCAAGCCACAGCATCAGCAGCCAGGAACACTCCTATATTTCACTCAAGTCTTGATGACACATACCACATCACCAGCGGTATGAACACCTCTGTTGCTGAACCAATATTAATTCCTCCATTAGTGAAATGCACCTTTGCCCTGAGATACAGCAGTCACTATCACTGTCACTTTGAATAATCCTTCTCTGACAACTTCCTGGATAATCTCTTCCTAATATTCCCAGGAAAGTTCCATCAACCAGAAGAATGAAGAAACATGAAACCATAAAGTGATGTGTCCTTTTGGAAGCTCTGCCATATAACATACAGAAGACAGATGCATCGCCTTGCCTTATCCACACCAGGGCCTTAATCGGTGCCAATGGTAAAAGATGGTAAAACCTGTCATAATCCCTTCTTCAAACACTAAGTCAAAATCAATATTCACATAATCCTCCTTACTTAATTATAATTTCCATTTCAGTGTTTCAGCTGTTACCTTCAAGTCAATCCTTATCTCCACTAAGCAAGTTCTTTACCTCGGCTTTACCATATTGCAAGAACTAAACATTAACCTATATCAACTATGACAAGACTTTACTCACATACTCTACAACCATCGAACAAACTGAAGAGCATTAGGACAGGGTCTCAGATATAGTGCATTGTGCTCATGTGCTGCAGAACATATCATGTAACAGTTCCAAACAGAGATGTATTTAATGACATTTTGAAGAGTAGTTCATGATCATTGGTTCACTCACCTGTCAGTCACCCTGTACACTCACCTGTCAGTCACCCTGTACACTCACCTGTCAGTCACCCTGTATACTCACCTGTCAGTCACCCTGTACACTCACCTGTCAGTCACCCTGTACACTCACCTGTCAGTCACCCTGTACACTCACCTGACAGTCACCCTGTACACTCACCTGTCAGTCACCCTGTACACTCACCTGTCAGTCACCCTGTACACTCACCTGTCAGTCATCCTGTACACTCACCTGACAGTCATCCTGTACACTCACCTGTCAGTCACCCTGTACACTCACCTGTCAGTCACCCTGTACATTCACCTGTCAGTCAACCTGTACACTCACCTGTCAGTCATCCTGTACACCCACCTGACATTCACCCTGTGCAGTTACCTGTCAGTCACTCTGTACACTCACCTGACATTCACCCTGTACACTCACCTGTCAGTCACCCTGTACACTCACCTGTCAGTCACCCTGTACACTCACCTGTCAGTCACCCTGTACACTCACCTGACATTCACCCTGTACACTCACCTGACATTCACCCTGTACACTCACCTGTCAGTCACCCTGTACACTCATCCTGTACAGTCACCCTGTACACTCACCTGACAGTCATCCTGTACAGTCACCCTGTACACTCACCTGACATTCACCCTGTAGTTACCTGTCAGTCACTCTGTACAGTCACCTGTCAGTCATCCTGTACAGTCATCCTGTACAGTCACCCTGTACACTCACCTGACATTCACCCTGTACACTCACCTGACAGTCATCCTGTACACTCACCTGTCAGTCAACCTGTACACTCACTTGTCAGTCAACCTGTACACTCACCTGTCAGTCACCTGTACAGTTACCTGGCATTCACCCTGTACACTCACCTGACAGTCATCCTGTACACTCACCTGTCAGTCAACCTGTACACTCACTTGTCAGTCAACCTGTACACTCACCTGTCAGTCACCCTGTACAGTTACCTGGCATTCACCCTGTACACTCACCTGTCAGTCATCCTGTACACTCACCTGGCATTCACCCTGTACACTCACCTGACATTCACCCTGTACACTCACTTGTCAGTCAACCTGTACACTTACCTGACATTCACCCTGTACACTCACCTGTCAGTCAACCTGTACACTCACCTGACAGTCATCCTGTAAACTCACCTGTCAGTCACCCTGTACACTCACCTGTCAGTCAACCTGTACACTCACCTGATAGTCACCTTGTACAGTCACCTGTCAGTCATCCTGTACACTCACCTGTCAGTCAACCTGTACACTCACTTGTCAGTCAACCTGTACACTCACCTGACAGTCACCCTGTACAGTCACCTGTCAGTCACTCTGTACAGTAAGCTGTCAGTCACCCTTTACACACACATGACACTCACCCTGTACATGCAGATGGGACTTGGATGTCAATTTTGAGTTTGACACCTCTTAATCCATGAGTTCACATGGTCAAAGTCGACACATACATAAGGGCCCACAGCTTCATCGTTCCTCCACACCTGTAGAAACTAGGTAGGAAATCCCATGCTACTTACATCCTTTAGGCAGGAGCCAGCTGAGACGGAAGATGTATGTGTCATTGATGAGTTCTCGGCTATAGGTCAAGTTCCTTGGCTTGTTGGGAAAGTCTTTCTCATTGACCGCTGCAAAATAAGAAGTGACATGTCTCTTGCGTGTCACTGTGAATTTGGAGAAAACAAATAAATTCAACATTACGTATAAAAAAGCAAAGAATGAAGGAGTTCTACTCTAAATGAAGCCAAACAATCTAAAACAAGCACCGTTTTGGTAACAGTTAGTCAATACTTCACAGACTTGAACTCCCTGTTTTTCAAGCTCCATGAATCACAGCTCAGCAGGGTAGACACTGCATTTAATCAACTAATCAAGTGACTGTCTGAACCCTGGGACAGGGAAGCCCGCAAGTCCTCGGACCAATCAGTACTCAGTTTACATGTCACAAATGGTAATGGTTCTTGCACGACAATGTTTGTAATATACTCTGCATACAGTTCTGTGTACAGTTTTGAGCATAAAATATAACATCCCCCACCCCCACCCCACCCCAACATCTGTAAACACGTCTTCTGTCTGAATGGAAAGCAAGAAACGTGACTTGATACTAGACCAAACATTTTTCCATTACTGTTATGGCCATACTCTGTGTCCTTGATACCAGCCAATGATCTAAAATGTTGCACATTCATGTCAAGTTGGTTGGTTCCGCCGCCATGCTCCCTCCCACGTGGTTGTGTTTTCTGCATTTCCTCCCCTATTTCAGTAATGTTCACCCGGGACTAACTTCTACCCAAACAAATGACTCCCGATGCACGAAGACATAAGAAATTAATCCTTGGTATTCATTTTGTCAAAATGTTAGCAAAACTCTGTCAGGTAGTACCAATTTTTCTGCTTTTGCATTTCTTTTTTTGCGGAGTACTTGTACTACAGCCGTAAGGGCCGTCATCTCTGAGCATTGCCTCAATGTCAGCCAGTGGTTGGGTTAATGCACAATTTCATGCAGTGGGTAGGGTACATTGTATGCCCCTGAGATATATACAGCCTGATTTCAATACCTCACATAAATGGACATGCATGACTCCTACACTACCTAGGAGCTGTATGATTTCAATAGATCGCCCTTAGGATCAGTGTTCACATCACTGCATGTTGTTTTTTGTGGAGAGCTGTTGAAAAAAGTGTCTGTCCCTTTGTACTTTTTCACCAGCAGACATGTTGTTTGAGAGCATTACCAAGGCGAGTGTAAGCCAATCACAACATTGTTGCATGTTAGTCACTGTAAGAGCTGATCAAGCAGGCTGTTTGATCAAACTAAAGTACTGTCGGAAATAGAAAATGTAATTTTCTGAATAAAATTGATATTTTATACTTATCCTGACTCATGCTCTTTTGCTTGTCTTCTTCTTCTTGCGAACATAGTGGAACACTTGTATCTCCCTAATTGAAGCTCCCTTCAATGTAAAATCACTAATTAGTACTCACCAAGAGTTGCTTCCCTTTCCGAAATGCGCGGGAAAGGAGGCGCCACCTCTTCCCACATGCTTCACTCTCTCCTGTTTAACGAGCCCAACACTTGAATTTACAGGGAAATCCAAAGTGTTATGTGGGGAGGATGGGAGGGCTTACCTCATGAGTCAGGATAAGTATAAAATATCAATTTTATTCAGAAAATTACATATTTTTCCTTATCCTGACTCATGCTCTTTTGCTTGTAGAATCCTACGGAAACGGAGGTGGGAAACAGAATACTTTGGATTTAAATAATTAGTGATTTATATATGTAATAACCCCCTCACGGAACTTCATAATGGCACTGTAATTAAGATAATTCCTGCTGCTATAATACATAAGTTCTACCAGCTGCCATAGATGGGGTACTACAATATTTAGATAATATGATAATAATAATAATAGTATAAAAGTTTAACTCCAAAGTGGAGAAGCGACCCAATGTACATGTAACATCAGTACTGGGCTTAAGACTAATGTAGACTTAAGATATGTATATAATTAGCACAAAACTCCGTGAGAGAGTTATAAGCTAGATAATACTGGTATGATATATACAGAATAATCTCGTGAGACTATGTCTCATTGTCTACGAGGGACTGTCAACTGCTGTGCGAGGACCATGGGACCGAAATGGTGAATACCTGAGACGTCCTCGGTGTTGATATCTCTCAGATAGTGGTTAGCAAACACCATGTCGGATTTCCAAAAGCAGCCCTCCATAATGGTATTCAACAAGCAATTTCCGTGTAGAGCGAGTGTCGAAGCCAGTGCTCTGATTTCATGGGGATTAGATGCTCTTGGAGGGTCGAGTCCTGCAGCCTTGTAGGCACGTAAGTATGACAGTTCTGATCCATATCGATATCGCGGGTACAAGAGACTTCAGTCTGAGTCGCTGTCGATAGAGGGATGAATAACCGCTTTGAGTTGTCGTCAGCCTTCGCTTTTGGATCGTTGTAGATAGATTTTGAGTGCTCTCACTGGGCATAATGATAGGTCAAGCGTATCATGAGGTCCGAGAATTGAGGAAAGTGCAGGGACATGGAATAATCTGTCTGGTTGACAAGGCAATTGATTCTTGGCGATAAAGTCCCATCGCAGTCCCATATGCACTATGTTTTGATTGTCATCGAAACGTGTTCTCTCATAATCTAGAGCGTGAATTTCTGACATCCTGGCTGCCGTTGCTAGGGATAACAGGAACAATGTTTTCTGTGTCAGAAATTCAAACGATGTTGATTCCAGTGGTTCATAGGCCTCACTTGTGAGGTGTTGGAGCACTACATTTAGATCCCATGCTGGAGCGCGAAATCTCTGTTTCTGATCCTCCAATCGGAATGAACGTAGCAAGGCCAGTAACTCTGGCGTCTTAGTTAACTTGACACCCGTTCTCAAAGTTACCACTGATTTTAGAGCTGCAAGATATGTTGACAATGTCGAGCCTTTTAGATGTTTAGTTTGTCGTAGGTAACAAAGGTAGTCAGCCACTTGTGGATGTGTAGCATTTCTAGCTGTAAATCCCTTTTAACAGCTGCATGTCTCAAAACTGTGCCACTTGTTGTCATACAAGTTGCGCCAGAGTTGCGTGAAAGCAAGCTGACTGCTTCGCTCGCCTGGCTGAATAACCTCTCTTGTTTAGACACACTTTAATACAGTCCATACGTGAAGTTGGAATGCTTCTGGGTTTCGTGGCGCTTTGTTTGGTGTGAGGATGAACTAGTAGATTCGAGCTTTGGTAGTTGTAGTATTGGTTGTCCGATTTCTTGAATTAGAATGGTAAAACCACGCTCGCTGGCCAGTGGGGGGCCACCAAGATCAGTTGGAGGCTCTGAGTTTGTCTGATTTTCTGTAACACCTTTGGAATTAGCTGGCGGCGGAAACGCTGCACGCCGCTGAGGCCTTCCCAGGATATGCTTAGTGCGTCCGCTGCCCACGCTTGTGGATCTGGGACTGGTGATAATGTAATGTTGTTAGCTGATTGTTGAAGCAAGTGGCTTAATAGGTCTACTAGCGGAGCTCCTATTTCCTTGATAATCTGTGCAAAGATTTCTGTATGGAGCATCCATTCTGTCGGGTGACGGTAGATGTGGCCGAGAGAGTGCGCCTACTAGTACATTCTTGGCTCCAGGAATGTGACATGCTCTGACATGTATGTTGAGATCGCCGATTAGATCGAAAAGTTGAAAGCATAGAGTCAATAGGTTCAATGATCTCGCTTGAGCCTTGTTTGTTTATATAAAACGCCACTGTTGAGTTGTCGGTGTGAATCATTAGATGCGATTCTGTAGAATGGTGCTCCAATGTAGTAGGGCTGATTACTGCTTTCATTTCTAGCATGTTTATGTGCAGCTTGCTCTCTTGCTGGTTCCATAACCCTGATGCCGCCCTGTTGGCTGGTAGATGAGCTCCCCAACCTTGGAGCCACGCTGCCTACATAGAGATGGGTTTTGAATTCGCTCTGTTAAATAGATGCCTTCACAGACATTCGACCTCCTGGTCCACCATAGTAGATGAGGTCTGATGTGCTTCGGTAGACTGAATGGTTGTAGGTCATCGAGATGAGCGTTGATGAGGACCTGTAACGGATGTAACTGTAGTCTGCCTCTGACTGTCATGTCTTGGGCTGACGTGAGGAGACCCAACAGACTCTGCCATTGTCGTAGTGGTAGAGGAGAGAGTAAGGCTTGTGGGGTGGTCTGTTGGATCTTGAGCCATCGGTCCTCTGGTACGACGATACAGTTCTGTGTCGTGAGAAATCGAATGCCTAGAAATTGCAGATCTTGCTTAGGTTCTAGGTCCGACTTGAGTAGATTTACTAACCATCCTAGCTGCGTTAGTAGCTTGATGATGAAGTTTAACTGTAGTTTGAGACGCTGTGGATCTTGATCTACTTGAATCCCGTCGTCGAGGTAGAACGCACTGCGTAGCCCTTGACGATGTAGGTAAGTGACGATAGGTTTCATTACTCTTGTGAACAACCAGGGGGCCGATGATATTCCCAATGGCAGTACTCTCCATTGGTAATGCAGCCCGTCTAGTGTAAACCGTAGGTATTTCCTGGATTCGGGATGTATCGGGATATGTAGATAAGCATCCTGCAGATCTATACTGGCCATGTAGTCCATGGGACGAACTAGGTGCCGTAGTTGAGGTAGATGTATCATGCGAAACGTTGGCGGTTTGCGTAGATAATCTCTGTTGAACGTGCTCATGTTGTAGATGGAGTTCCTTGGAGTTTTTCTTGGGCACTAGGAAAACTGGGGAGTACAAGCCTGGTTCGATGTTTACTTGATCCAGTACTTCTATGGCCTGCTTGGTTAGGAGAGATGAAACAGCTTCTCATAACTTTGGTAGTTGTTGAGCCTGGAAGTCGAACTTGTGAGGGTTGACTGTAAGCGGAGGCGTGGCCTGTAGTTGGATTCGATATCTGTGTTGTAGGATGTTGGAGACATATGGATCCTGTAGAATTCCCCAGTTCTCCCAGTGCAGTTGAAGGCGTTCACCCACTTGTGATGGTTGTACTGGAACGGCTGGGGGTGGAAGAATCCAGTCGTTCCGAACCCGTCTTTCATCGTTTATAGTTGCGGGAGCCTCTGGGTGCCCTGCCTCTTCC